TTTTCGCAATATGATGAGAAAGGTTGATAGATGGCGGCAATAGTAAACAATGATAGATTTGGTTCCATGATGAAATAAAATTTCAGACTTATTTTATTATAAATTCACATGAATTCTTTTGAGATATCAAAATTTTCATAACAAACAAAGGTATGTTTTCTATTAACAAATTTCATGTTATAAATTAAGTGTACAAGCACTTCAAACCACTCATATCACTGGCCATTTAAATCCTTGAGTATTGTATTGACGTTATTAAAATTCTTATCTAAACCAAACTATGGCTATTATTACACAATGACTTTTAGTCAGTTGAAGCCTAATCTTTAAAAAAAAAAATTAATAAGAGTGAATGGAAAGTGGTCATATCTATTTGCATGTTGGCATATGCTTATTCATCTTTATTTTTCTTTTAATACCTATATTGGTGGATAGATATAAAAATAATATTTGTACTATTTATGCAAAATGCATGATTTAATTTTGAATATTTGTTGTGTTGCATTGATGTTGATATTGAATATGCTTATAATGGCCTCAATTAAATCATTGCCAAGGTGTTTGAAAAAGACAATATGAATGGGATAAATTTTTTACATATAAAAATATGACAATGAAAATAAAATGTCATTCTTCTATCATACGACTAATACATTATTGGTTAAAAATAATGAAGATTTTTTTTTATGCTAAAGAAGATGGCCTTTTTACAAGCTGTTAAAATGAAATGTATGTATACAAGTTTCCATGACTTTCTATAGTTTCATGGCAAAAATGTGTGATGTTTATGCACCATGTAGCATGTGTGGACTAGATAATGTTGTTGGCTTTTCAAAGAACTAAACCTTGGATTTTGTCACTCAATAAGTTATCTATTGTGAAGTTGCTATGAGTTTTTGCTTCAATAATGTTATCTCATAAATTTGATTGTGAAAAGATTTGAAATTAGAGTTAAGTTGCTATTAGTTTTTGTTTCAATAATGTTATCTCACAAATTTGATTGTGAAAAGATTTGAAATTAGAGTTAAAATATTAACAGACTCTAATTATACATAGGCATATTAGTCCTACGAATAAAGTTTAAATACTATAAATATCCAAAGGTGATTAGCTGTAATGTCCCAATCCCACATCGAAAAGCTTTGAGGATCTACTATGATATATATGTAAAGGCTTAAACCCAAATCTGTGAAGTGCTTTTGTGGGACAAAATCCATGAGACATTTGGGTCAAAGCGGACAATACCTCACAGATTGAGTGTGGGTCTCCACATATGGTATCAAAATAGTCACCAATCAGATGGGGAGCTAAGTGCTACATCGTGGGAGCCATCTCTAGAATCCTGTATGAGTTAAATGCCACATCGTGGGAGCTACCTCTAGAATCACAACATCTGATGTGATCTTATAATCTGTGTGTGCTTTGTGTTGAGCTTGATAGGGACGTCAAGTTTTAGTAGAAAGAGTTTATGACATCTAAATCCCATATTGGGATATTCTATGGATCTGTTATGATATATCATAATGGTGCAACGGAAGCGTGGTAGGCCCTTAACCCATAGGTGCTAGGATCGAAACCTAACTCTTATATCATTTGTAGATATTCGCATCTAACCTGTGAGGTATTGTTCATTTTTACCTGAAAATCTCACGGTTTTGTCCTACAAAAGATTTCTCACAAGTTTAGGTTTAGATCTCTACACATATATCATAGTAGAACTTAGATTATCCCTATTAGGTTTATATCTTTACATATATATCATAGCAAAACCTTAGATTATCTTGATGTATCCTAATTATGTTTAAATCTCTACATATATGTCATAGTAAAACCTCATATTATCCTAATGTAGGATTAGGGAATCACATTAGCATTGTTACTTTATATGATTGACATGGTTTTGTTCATGGTAATAAAAATAAAAAATAATGTCCATGAAAAAAAGTGTTGTTAGGGGTATTTTTGGATCCAGAGGATAAATTAGTCTTTTTTCTCATTAAAGACTGTCAGCAAATAACCAGGGTATTTTTTATCTTTGAACTGACCTGACATGTATAGTGCTACATCAACTCGACTATGTCATTATATTGCCCCACAAACCCCTCACCTTCTACTTATAAATAGAAGCCATCTAGATACTATCAATCCAATCCCACTTTTCCTTACATTCTTATTTTTCTTTCCTTTTGACCTCTATAATTCTAACCTCTAACTTGTGGGTCGAAGTGCAAACGCAGGGAATCCTCCTTACTTTTGCCCTAACTGCTCTTTTCCTTTTCTTGTAATTTTGGAGTTTTGACCCTCAACTCAGAACTCGGCACCAACAAATGTATATATATATATGATATTTTATAGTCACTTAATAAGCATATTGATGGTCTTTTAATATGACTATATTCTAAAAGGATATGTGAAACACACTTGTGTATTTATGCAATTTGTTGATGAAAAATCATATTATTTGAGTATATATGCATAACAAGTTTCAATCTTAAATTGACTATGATGAAAAACTATAGAAAATAACAAAAACATTGTCTTCTTTCACCAAGGGATTTAAGGCCTCTTTACAATAACTTACTTGATGAAAAAGATAGAATGATATATGGTTCACACATTGGTGGAAATAGCATTAATTTCCTGGGATATCAAGAAATATATAAAATGAACAAATGTGAAACCATCATGACAAGAATAAATATAAAGTGATCACTATGAACTAAAACAATTTATAATAATTGTACAAAAGATATCTATAATAGTTGAATTACTATAGGAAAAACATTCTTTAAAAAATGGATATACATACATGATGGGGGTGTTTGTCTTATAAATCTTCAAAATACAAATTAGTATAAAAGTTTCACCATGTGGTATGGAAAATTAACATAGTTACATTGGAATTTTGGGGATGAAGTTCAAGCCTATTATATAGAATCACCCATGATGGAAACTCGAATAAACGTTTGATATAACACAAGTCTTGAGTTCAATGAGCAAAAATACACCATTTAATTTTATATTTTCATTTTAAGTAAAGTGCTCGATACCTGTAATGATAAGAGAACGATGAGGTTATACTCTTAAAATACCCATAACATAAATATGTTAGATTATAGTTACGAGAACACTCTTAATGGGAGTTACCTATATGAATGAAGTGTGGCCATTTCTTATAAGTTTAAGGGCTTGACTATAATAACACTCATAAAAATAGGATGTAAACACATGGCCAAAATAATGTACATGGATACCGAGTGTTCATTAGTTGTAGAAGTTTTTTGTTTGAGATAAATTTAGTTAACTAAACGGAATAACCAGTTTAAAACATAATCAACTATGCAATTTCAGTTAACTTTAATTTGTTTTTACTAAATGAAAGTTTAAATTGGAAAATACCTTTATTTATGGAAAAATTTTTCAAAATTATCAAAGATTTGTTTTATTTTGAAAATGGTGAAAGATTGTTAAAATATTTTCAAAATAATAAATCACATGAATTGCATGTGAAAGTGAAAGGTTATATCTATTTAAATGACATAATTATTTACTACGAGTTATATCTTATAAAAAGTTATGTCTATACAATTAGGCATCTTTATAGGTAATTATGTCTATATAAAGATACTTCTATTTAATTATAAATAGAACTATTTTGATTTTTGGAAGATACAAGAAAAAAAAATCACTTAAAAATATTCTACATATGAAACAAAAGCCAAAAAAAAGTCCCACAAATCTTTTATAGTCAAATCATATAATTCTATTTTATGCCAGTGAATACTTAATGGATTGATTTCGTCAATACAAAATACAATTAATCATCGAGTTTCTATGAAAACCCACACCCAACCTACGAGGTATTATCTACTTTAATCTGAAGGTCTCACGGTTTTGTCTTACAAAAGATGCTTCACAGATTTTTGGGTATTGATTTCATTAATACAATACGCAACTAATCATTGGCCTTCTGTGGAGATCAGCACTTAACCTGTCAAGTATTATTTGCTTTGATCTGAAAGTCTCATAGTTTTATCCTACAAAAGGTGCATCATAGATTTTTTTGTTTAAGTCTCTACATATACATCATAACATATCCCCAAAACATCTTGATATGGGATTGGGGCATTACAAACTTCTCTCGTTAAAGCTTGATGTCCCCGTCAAATCCAACACAAAGCACACAAGCACACATAGATCATAAGATCACACTAGACGTTGAGATTCTAGAGGTAACTTCCACCGTATAGCACTTAGCTCCCGCAGGCATAATACTTAGCTCTTGTTCAACTGGTGACCATTCTGATATCATTTGTGAAGACATACACCCAACATGTAAAGTATTATCTACTTTGACCTAAAGGTCTCATAGTTTTATCCCATAAAATACACCTCACAAATTTTTAAATTTAAATCTCTACATATATATCATAGCAGATTCTCAAAACATCATGATGTGAGATTAGGACATTACAATTTTATTATATCTTCAAAATTTATCGTTAATAACTTTTTTACGTACAAATTAATTAAGTGGTAGAAACGAATAAAATATTTTAAAATATAACTTTAAAGGCCTTAAAGTATTTCCTCAATTTCTCATATTTTTTTAAACCCCAATTTCTTAGAGTTGGTTATATCAAAGTTGAAAATATTATACTCGAGAGATTAATAGAATTGAACTTCCTGGATTGAGCATGGAAGTAGGCCTGTCAAACTCACTCACCAACTCCGAGGCATTGTCAAGAATATGAACTTTATAATAGCATCTAGCCAAACTATTAAAATACATTTGCCCAATGTGAAAAGCAAGAAAATGATATTAGAAATAGGTATTGTTGTAAATTTCAAGCCATTGTTGATTGCCATTGCAGATTTTGATTAGAATAATATTCCTTGGTGATGCATCAAGGGAATATTCATTCGGCCAAGAAAGTCCAACTGTATAGAATATTCCCAAATGTAAAAACAAGAGCATGACATAGGAAATATATAGGATAACCCAAACCTCTACATTGATCAACATAAGAAAAGGCAAAAATATGTTCTTATCCAAAATTTTACTGCACTAATTAAGTAGATGAAGACATGTTAGATATATTGTAGGCCAGATAAAGAGAGGATTGGATCTGCAGGAGGATCGGGAGATGGCAAGAAGTTATTGCTACAAAGATATTTTGCCATTCATAGCCATGGTTTCAGTAGAATGTGGGAACGTAGGAGTCAACATCTTGTTTAAAGCTGCAACTTCCAAGGGGATGAGCTACTACATCTTCATCACCTATTCATATGCTATTGCCAGCCTTGTTCTCCTTCCTTTATCCTTCATTTTTTACAGGTCTTTTAGCTTTCTTTATTATGATCACAATCTTCTAGTTTTGATAATCATGCTTCCTCCAATTCCATCTAAAATCTGCAGTAACCGTGTCTTCGTTTACTTTTGATGTATGCAGTAGAACAGTGCTTCCCCCATTGAAGTTCCATCTTGTCTCCAGGATTTGCCTTCTTGGCCTTATTGGGTATTGAAGTACTGATGTGTTCAGTTTTTTTGGTGATTGAAAAAGATTGGAAGATAATTATAACAAAAAACCAAGATTGATTTTTTCTTTTGGAGACAGGTTTTCAGGTCAAATATGTTCATATAAAGGTATAGAATATAGTTCCCCAACTCTTGCTTCAGCCGTCGGCAACCTCTCACCAGCTTTTATCTTCATACTTGCTGTCCTTTTCAGGTTAAATTTCTTCCTTCTTTGATCTCTTAATTGTTGATTTTTCCATGTTTGTACAGTTTTATCTAGCAGAATAATGTTCCTTTACTCCTATATAAACTTCAACTTCATACAACCTTGCAATGGAAATTATCAACTAAATTGTTCCTATTGATTCATCAAGCCACAGATGAAATTCACCATGGGAAGAAAAGGAGATTCATAAAGAAGAATATCAGAATTAAGTATGGATAAAAATAACAAAAGAAATGATCAAGTGGGAAATAATAAAAAAGCCAATTATTGCATGTCAATTTCAAACAAAAATTTTATAATTTTCTTTCAAATGATCTACATGGTTCACATGTATATTAATGTCCTAAATCTTGTTATTTTCCCTTTCTTTTGGATACCATAATAATTACCAAAGGATGGAAAAAGTAGCATTGAGAAGCTCAACTTCTCAAGCCAAAATCATGGGCACCATAGCTTCAATATCAGGTGCACTAGTTGTAGTTCTGTACAAAGGCCCCAAAGTTTTATCTTCCTCCCCCTGGACATTATCATCTGTTTTACATCAATGGCCTTTGGAGTCATCATCAGAATCAAATTGGGTTATTGGTGGGATCTTACTTGCTGTTGCCTATCTTCTTTTTTCATTCTTGTACATTATTCAGGTAAAAGGGATATTTTGAGAACCCTGTATCTTCCTCTTGAACTATAAAACTCACAAATTTAACTGAATTTGAAGTGTATATTTTACATTTTACAGACCCAAGTTATGGAGATATACCCGCACGAGCTGACTGCAGCCTTCTTTTACAACTTATGTGCTACCATTATAGCTATACCAGTATCCTTAATAGCAGAACCAAACTTGAGTTCTTGGAGATTAACACCTACTGTAGCAGTAGCTGCAGTCCTATACTCGGTAAGAATTTACTGATCATGTACAATTGGAAAGCAGGCAATACGCAATATCTGAATACAATAATCGATGTCGGTTTAGGGAGTATATTCATCCATCAGCTCTTCTGTGCGCATATGGGGTCTTCACCTGAAGGGGCCTGTCTATGTTGTAATTTTCAAGCCTCTGTCAGTTGCCATAGCTGCTTTTATGAGTGCCATATTTCTTGGTGATGCTCTGCATCTTGGAAGGTACTGAGATCTCTCTTCATATTGTTCCTATTAACAATCATCATAATCATTTCACACTTGCAGCAAATGTCAACTTTGGTTAGTCTGATTCAATCTGAATTTTGCAGTGTCATTGGAGCAGTTATCATAACCATGGGGTTTTATGCTGTAATATGGGGAAAAACAAAAGAACAAAGGATTGATGGCTTAAGTCGTTTGGGGCACTTGTCCAATGACAAGACCCCTTTGTTGCAAAGTCATAAAGAAGAAGATATATAGGCACAAACATTATCTACAAAAATAGTAGCGGTTCATTGTGTCCTCAATTATCAATTAATTTGTTCCATGCAATGGCAGTATAGATTAAAAACAGTATAGCATCTACAATTTATTTTGTTTTCGGTTGAAAGATCAAACTTAGAGTACTTCAAGCGACAGAGATGATCACCTTTTTACCATGCAATCAAGATTTTCGGGCCTTAACAATGGCTGAGAATAAAATGCTTAAAAAGTTTTTCATAATTTGGATTATATCAGAGACAATGCATTATCTGTGTTTGTTTGCTATCAATTGAAATTATCAAGTGTACACTGTAGCGTACTTAAGAGTAACAGATGATGAGATGATCACCATTTTACCAGTTAATCCAAATTTCTTGGTTTAGCAATGTGCTTATTGTGATAAAAGATCGAACTGCATGGACAAAGGTGGAATTATGGATTATTTTAGTGAGAATAAAGCATTAAAAACCTCATCTATCTAAGCAAAAGAACCTGCAAAGGAAGATGATGTATGGCATCATATAATGATGGATTGTCTTCTTGTTTGAAGCCTGCAAAGTTTAGTTCTGTTAGTTTTGTTAATCAGTGCTTGTCTTTTCACCTTTATATTCTCCATTAAAATTTCTACAAACCAAGACTTCTATCCAATCTGATCCAGCAAGAACTTTAGAATTCCTTGTTACCTTCAGGTTTTTTTGGCCAAATGTTGCCTGATTCATGCACAAATGAAAAAAAAAAAAATGTAACTAGCTTGACAATGGATAAAAACCACAAAGATGGACTCCTCCCTCGATTGGGAATTTCATTCAATATATCAACAATACAACTTTAGTCCGAAAATAGGTTTTAATGGTCCTCTTTCTTCTGTGTAGTTACGTCAGTAGAGAACAAATGTTCTGTTTAAAGTACAATTAATTGTTAGAGTGGTTCTGTTTTTCCTTTTTTGTTTGCTTCAAAATGACAGTTGATAAAATGAGGTAAAGAATACTGCAAATGAAATTACCTGACCAACTCAACTTGGCAATTTAGTAAGCTAAAAGTAAAGTAATTTGGTTTAAAGTGGGAGATTAACTGGGAGAGAAGTTAATCAGGGAAGGAAGAAACTGATCAAGGGGAGAGGTAAGAAGGAGCAGATGGCATGGAGGCATGCCAGAAGGAGGTCCTGCCATTCACAGCAATGGTTGCAGTGGAGTGCACTGGTGTAGGCTTAAACATTCTATTCAAAGCAGCCACTATGAAAGGGATGAGCTACCGTGTCTTCATCACCTACTCTAATGTTATTGTCACCCTTGTTCTCCTCCCTTCTCCCTTCATCTTTACCCGGTCTTTCGATCCTTCAGTCATTTAGAAAACATTCATAATTTGATAAACTCAAACAATTTCCATTACAAAAGAACGAGCTAACATCTTTTTCTGTCTGATAAATGCAGCACAGAAGTTCTTCCCTTATTGAAGTTCCCTCTTATCTCCAGAGTTTTCCTTCTCGGGCTTATTGGGTATATAATATTGAGGGCATTCTAAAGCTGTAAAAAGATTACAAGACAGTAAAACTTGATGACTTGAAGAGTAAAAAACAACATTAGTTATAGGGTTGTAAAATACAAATATATACAAATATGTAAATGGGTTTAAGACTCACAAGATATATCCAAAAACGAAACATATCTTATAAGTTAACTAAACAAAATATATCTTTTAACAGCCTCTCAAACTGAAAATGGTTCTAAATGAAACATTTGGAGTTTGGAAACTAAATAAAAAAAATGTGAACTTGACAGAGGCTTTGTAAAAAGATCCATCACTTGTGATTCATAAGAAATATGTAGTAGCATAATGGTGCCTTTGTGTATCTCTTGTCTAATAAAATGACAATCTATTTCAATATGTTTCATCCGATCATGAAAAATATTATTGTAAGCAATTTGAATTGCACTCTTACTATCCCAAAAGAGTGGAATAGGAGTAAGTGTGTCAACACCTAAATCCATAAGTAACCGACTCAACCACATAATTTCTGTTGTAGTGTTTGATAAAGCTCTATACTCTACTTCAATACTAAACGCACCACAACTATCTACTTTTTGCTTTTCCAAGATATCAAAGAATCACCCAGAAAAACACAATAATCAGTTGTAGAACTGTAATGCCCCCAATCTTGCATTGGAAGAATGTGTAGATAAGGAATGATATATGTAGAGGCTTAAACCTAAAACTTGTAAGGCACCTTTTGTGGGACAAAACCATGAGACCTTCAAGTCAAAGTAAATAATATCTCACAGGTTAGATCCGGGTCTCCACAAATGGTATCAAAGCAGTCACTAGTTGACAGGAACTAAGTGTTACATCATGAGAGTCACTAAATGCTACACCGTGGGGAGCCATTTCTAGAATCCTAACGTCTAATGTGATCTTGGTCTTGTGGTTGAACTCGGTTTGACAAGGATGTCAAGCTTTAAAGGTAAGGAGATTGTAACACCCACAATCCCACATTGGAAGAATGTGTAGATAAGGAATTATATATATGTAAAGGCTTAAACCTAAAACCTGTGAAGCGCCTTTTGTGAGACAAAATCATGAGACCTTCGAATCAAAGCAGACAATACCTCACAAATTGAATGAGGGTCTCCATAAGAACATTGATAATTAACATCACTAACCCAATCAGAATAAAAAAAAAAGCATGAAGTTCAAGTTTAGAAGTTGATGAGAACAGCAAACTTTTATGTAATGTTCGTAGCAAATATCTCAATATCAGGTCTTGTAACTATCAAATATATAAGACTACCAACAAACTATCAATACAAAGTAGCATCATTGAAAAGTTCTCCATCAGTAGCTTTTATTTTGACATTAGTTTCAAGAGAAGTGTCAATAGTTTTATTATCAGATAAACCAACTTTAGAAATAAGTTCAAAAGCATATTTCACTTAAGATAAGACATATCCATGAGAGGAACAATCAACTTCAATTCTCAAAAAAATTGTAATGGACTAAGATCTTTCATCTCAAAGGTTTAGCTAAGATAATTTTTTATATTATAAATACCAAGGTTATCATCTCTAGTTATCACCATATTATCAACATAGAGAAGCAAAAATACAGTACCTCTTTCAAATCAATGAATAAACAATGCTAATCATAAAGACTTTGCACAAATTCAAAGTCAAGTATAGTAGTGTTGAATTTCTCAAACTAAGCACACGATGCTTATTTAAGACCATATAAAGCTCGTCGAAGTTTGCACATTTTATTAGTTTGGCAAGACAATTCAGAAGAAGGTTTCATATAAACTTTTTTATGAAGATCTTCATTCAAGAAAGCATTTTTTATATCCATTTACGATAAAGCCCATCCTCAAATAAAAGCAATAACTATAAGAGTTTGAACAGAAGTCATTCGAGCTACAAAAGCAAAGGTTTCTTCATAGTCAATACGATACTTCTGTGTAAATTCTTTCACAACCAACCTGACTTTATATCTCTCGATAGACCCATCTAACTTAGTCTTTACCTTGTACACCCACTTACATTCCACTACAGATTTTCCAAAATGTAAATCAGCAATATCTCAAGTATGAGTTTTCTCTAAAGCATCTAATTTTTCTTTCACAGCTATTTGCTAAAGAAGATTAAAACTTACTTCACGATAAGATTTAGGTTTATAAATAGAAAGAATAACAGATAAGAAACAATAAAAATCATGATAATGTTTTGAAAGAATTCTTTTACGTGCTGAATGTCTAAGTTCTGGGACAAGCAACTCTGACGAATTGGACAATGGTGGTGAATGATTGCTTATGGCAGAGTAAGTGATAGGACAAGCTTTATTTGGATGAATCTGCTGAGGAGTTGGAGAACTTTATGACATATGAGAAGATTGATTAAAGTCATTTAAATCAACAAAAGATCAAAAAAGACAAAAGACTCATCAGGATCATTGGTAGATTTTTGAAAACGAGGCAATGATACATCAAAATATTTTTCAAAAAAGTAACATGCCAAGAAACACAAAATTTTTGTGCAATAAAATCATAGAAACAATATCCTTTTTGTCCAATACCATACTTTAAAAACACACAAATGGTAATTTTTGAGATAATTTATCACACTGAACTTTAGGAAGCAAAACAAAACAAGTAGAACAAAAAATATGAAGCTTAGAATAATTAGGAGTAGTATTATATAAGCGTTCAAAAGTGAAAATTTCACTAATGGCAAAAGAAGGAATACGATTAATAATGTAATCTAAAATAAGTCCAGCTTCCCCCTAAATTTCTTAGGAACCAATAAAGATAACAACAAAGCTCTAGTGGTTTCTATGATATGACAATGTTTTCTTTCAGTAACATCATTCTGCTGTGATGTATATGGAGACCCGTACCCAACCTATGAGGCATTATTTACTTTGACTCAAAATTTTCACAATTTTATCCCACAAAAAATACTTCATAAGTTTGAGATTAAGTCTAAACTTATATATCATAACAAATCCATAGAATCTCTTTATATGGGATTAAGGTATCATAAATTTCTCTTGTTAAAGCTTGACATCCCCGTTAAGCCTAACACAAAATACACAGATCTATTGAATCACATACCAAATGTTGGGTAAGCCTAATACAAAGTACACATATATCACAGAATCACACTAGACTTTGGGATTTTAGAGATGACTTCTACCGTGTAGCATTTAGCTCTCACAAGATTTTAGAGGTGGCTCTCACAATGTAACACCTAGCTTTCGTCTGACTGATAATCGTTCTAATACTATTTGTAGAAACCTGCACTAACCTGTGAGGTATTATCCGTTTGAACCCGAAGATCTCATGATTTTATCCCACAAAAGACATCTCACAAGTTTAGGATTAAGTCTTAACTTATATATTATAGCAAATCCACAGAATCTCTCGATATGAGATTAGGATATCACAGTGTATTAGTACAAGATGACTCAAGAAGAGTACTTTGAGAAGTAAAAAACTCTTTTAAATTACTTGATTGATATTTCCTAGCAGAATTAGCACGAAAACATTTAATTGTTTTAAAAAATTATGTTTTGATCATGACAAAAAAATCTTGATAAATTTTAAGTAAATCTGAACGATGCCAAAATGAGTAAATCCAAGTATACCTCGAATAATCATCAATAAAAAAAACATAATAACAATAACCCCCATAGTAGG